CTTCACGGCCCTGATAAGGAACCAACCATGTTGATACTTGGATCTTGGACTTTTAGCCTCCAGAACTGTGAGAAAATATATTTCTGTTTAAGCCAAAAAAAAAAAAAAAAAAAAAAGGAAAAAAAGAAAAAAGAAAAAGTATTCTTAGACATGAAATTCTGTGCATAATTACAAGAATTACCAACATTACCATTTGTCAATGAAAGAAAAGGAAGAATAAATGTATGGGGGAGCATCCCAAACTCCCCCGAATTTATTTATAAAAACTGTATATTTATTCTTATATGTTTAAACCTCAGTCACCTTCAAAGTACTTTCCATTTGATGCAATACACTTATTGAGAAGTTTTTTCCCACTGCTCAAAGCAGTTTTTGAACTCGTGAATTTTGATGCCTTTTAGTGCTTCTGCCATTTTTTGCCTCACCTCTTTTATATCAGCAACATTTTGCTTTGAGGAATTTTTTTATTCAGAGAAACAAAGAAAAGCCACTTAGGGTGAGACTGGGTGAATAGGGAGGGTGGAGTATGGGAGTCATGCCATTTTTGGTCAAAAACTGCTGAACTGAAAACTGCAGCGTGGGCAGGTGTGCTCGTAAGTCACCCATCATGAAATCCACAAACACGTTGAAAGAGTCTTCAAAAAAATTCACTGAAACTGAAGGCAGCCTCTCACAGCACCACCAGCTGGTACATGATACAGGTGGGTTCCTAGAACACTTACCTAGAGCAGGGAGCCTGTACTACAGGGGGCTAGGCTGTCCTCTAGAAGGTAATTCTGGCTTTTTTGGGTCCCCCCTTATAAATATATATTTCCATATAATTTCAAGAATTAATACTTTTGAATAACTTTGAAAAAGGTTTTCCATTAAAAAATTTTTTTTAAATTTAACTTATTGGGGTGACATTAGTTAATAAAATTATATGGGTTTCAGGTATACAATTCTATAATACATAACCTGTGTATTGTATTGTGTGCTTACCACCTCAAGTTCAAGTCCCCTTCCATCACCATTTACCCCTCTATACCCTCTTCTACCTTCCCCTTTCTTTCTGATAATCACCATACTGTTGTCTGAGTTTTTTTCTTAATACCTCTATCTTTTTCACCCCAACCCTCTCACATCTGACATCTGTCAGTCTGTTCTCTGTATCTATGATTCTGTTTCTATTTTGTTTATTTATTTTGTTTATTAGATTCCACATATGAGTGAAATCTTATGATACTTGTTTTTCTCTGACTGGCTTGTTTTACTTAGCATAATACTCATAAGACTTTGTAAAGTGTTTTTCCATTTTTAATCACTCACTTCTGTGAGTAGTTTTCTTGGATGGTAATCATCAATTACTCTAAGAAATCAGTACTTAAAGATCTTGATCAGGAGGTGTTTAGCCATTTTGCAAGCACAAAATCTAATATAATAATTATATGCACAGAAACAAGCTCCAGTTTCTTATAAATATTAAATTTTATTTGGAAGTTTTATTGTGGAACCAGTATTTAAATACTTCCATATTACTGTGTATTTTATTTTCCTTGTAAATAATAGTATAAAGAGCACAACAAAATTTTAAAAATATACAGTTTTATTTTTAATATTACAAAATTAAAAAAACAAAATACAACATTCTAAAAACCCAAGCTTTACTATTGATACTAATTCCTATGAGACTGCTGTGTTGCCATACACAAGTCAAGAAATTAAAGAGATCAGTAAATATTTGCAACATTTAACATCAGAAGCCTTAAAATCTAACTGTACGTAGTAGCCCTTCAAAAAGCTACAATCTGTAGAGAAAAAAAATACTTTCTCTACAAAGAATCTTATCAGCTCTACAAAAATCTGTATAGTTTTATACTGAAGATAATATCGAGCTGGACTTGAATTCACATTTTTAGCAAAACAATCTCCTGAGCATACACGCACACTCCACACACGTCATTACAGAATAGCCCTTTATTTTTCATCTTCATCCTCTTCCTCCTTTTCCTCCATTTCTGGTTCTTTCTCCTTTGAGCCTGCTGGCCTGCCATGGCCCTCCTTGTCCACTTCACTTTTGCCCTTGACACAGTATGCGGCACTATCCTTTTCATATTCCTCCTTTAGCTTAGTTGCTTTCTGTTCACATGGCCACTTATCTTTGGCTAACTGTCCAGACCACATTTCACTGAATGTTTTTTGCGGTAGTCCCCATGGATAAGCCAGGGTGTTCATATTTGATCTTTGGGCAATGTTCAGAGCAAAAGAGGAAGGCAGGCAGATGGAGGCCTTTTAGGAACATTGGTATCTTTTTCCTTCTTTCTCTTTCTTTCTTGTCTTTCTTTCTTTCTTTCTTTCTTTCTTTCTTTCTTTCTTTCTTTCTTTCTTTCTTTTCTTTCTTTCTTTCTTTCTTTCTTTCTTTCTTTCTTTCTTTCTTTCTTTCTTTCTTTCTTTCTTTTCTTCTTTCTTTCTTTCCTTCTTTCTTTCCTTCTTTCTTTCCTTCCTTCTTTCCTTCCTTCCTTCCTTCCTTCCTTCCTTCCTTCCTTCCTTCCTTCCTTCCTTCCTTCCTTCCTTCCTTCCTTTCTTTCTTTCTTTCTTTCTTTCTTTCTTTCTTTCTTTCTTTCTATCATTTATTCTATTATAGTTGTCTCAATTTTTCCCCCTTTGCCCCCCTCTACCCATTCCCCCCACCCCGCTTCCAGAGTCAATTCCCACTCTGTTGTCCATGTCCATGGGTCATTCATACATGTTCTTTGTCTAGTCCCTTCTCCTTCTTTCCACCTTGGTCCTCCTTCCTCATCCCCTTTGGTCACTTTCAGTCTGCTCCATGCTCTTTCCTTTCTTATCACCGTTGGGAGGAACATAAATTTTTATCTCCTTGTCATAGTGAACTTTGTCACTTTTTGTTATAACTTCAAACTGACTTTTCCTTTGCAGTCATGGCCTTTCTTTTCTCTGAATATTTTTTTGGAGAAGCCAGCAAAATTGATGAAACAACCTGGGTGTTTCTACCTGTGCTCTTCCTGGCAGGTTTGCAGGGGAAGACATACAAAGACATCTTGCCCCTCAGCTTGTTAGTATTTCCTTTACTCATAGTGACAGGCAGCGTCCACCTGGCAGTAGCTTTTCCTGAGTCCCGCTGTTCAGCTGGATCTGACAGAAATACTTCCTTTGCTTGATCCCCCCTGACCCCTATCTAGATTCTAGATGATTTCAAACTCCCTTCAGTTTATGCTGGTGTGCCTTTCAAGTATTAGCACTTTCTACATGTGCTATCATGACGGAAGGTTGGAAGTGCTGCATCGAGCCTCTTCTTCCGGATAGTCTTCTAAAAACACCCTCAAACTGTTATCAATTATTTACCTTCAAATGCATGTTTATACATTTTTATAATTGCTCTCACTCAATGTTCTGCTGGTTTGTTTTTTATCCACTCCATTCGCCCCATGACCACCCCCATTAGATTTGGAGCCACATGAGGTACAATGATCTTATCAATTTTTTTTCTATCAGTGATGCTGTATAGCTCTGGGGTTCTTGACTCTGTGCCTGTTTGTCTGAGGATGTTCTCTGACTCCAAGTTCCCTTTAGCTGGTCTCTCTAAGCAGGGTCTAGACCATTCTATTTCTAGGGTGCCAGGGTTGAGGTTTTCCCTCTCCTGCCTCCAGCCTCCAAACTGATTATGTTAATCAAAATCCTTGACAGTGACGGAAGCTGTCTGGATGATGAAGCAGAAAAATAATTATTAAAATACAGTGTTGTTGAGAGGAGTGGAGACCATGGCAAAGGCTAAACTTCCCGGAATAACTGACAAATATTAACTGGTCTCTTGAAGAAACCATGGGTGCTGCCACCAGGGATGGGTCAGAATATTTCTGCAACTTCTATGTCAGAAACTTGCTGTTGCAACCTTCTTTGCTGTCATCTGAAAGAGTGCTGCTCCTTGCCTCTTGTGGGTACCACCTACTCAGTCAAAGTCTGATCAGTGGAACCATGTCATATGTCTGGGGTGCTAGAAAATGTTCTTAGCTCCAGAGAGGGAAGCGGTATTTCTCCCCATGAGACTTCTAAAGTGAGGAATTCTCCAGACATTGAAAGAGGGTCAAATGCTGGGTGACCATAACAAGAGTTAAGTGTCTACTCTCTAGGTCCTATCCAGGATGGCCTCGGGGCTTCTATCAGTCTAAGGGATTGGTGAAGGTAGTATCGGTTCAAGCTGATGTCGTATGTTGGGAGGCGAATGGGAAAACCAGGGAGACCCTCTTGCCCAGTTGGAAGTGTTATTGCCAGTTATGGGTGATGTCAGAAATCAAAAGGAAAGGCAAGGGGGAACATTAATGTGGAATATTTCAAGGGACAGCAGTTCCCTTTCTTCTTGTTCTTTTTTTAAAAAATCCTCATTGAGTACATGCTCATTGATTTTAGACAGAGGGGGAGAGAGGGAGAGAGAGAGACAAAGAGAGAGAGAGAGAGAAACATTGATGTGAGAGAGAAGCATCGACTAGTTGTCTTTTGTACATGAACCTGCAACCTAGGCATGTGCCCCGACCAAGAATGGAACCCGTGACTTTTCAGCTTACAGGAAAATGCTCAACCAACAAAGCCATACTTGCCAAGGCTCCCTTTTTTCTAAAAGTCACTTAGAATATAAGACTGCTGTGTGTTTCTGGAAGAACACTAGATCAAAGGGCCAGGAAGACATTCCTATGGGCTCTGGTGGGTCACTTAGTTGGATGTCAAGTTCATAGACATCTGCCGTCATGAATTACATGGACCTCTGACTATTTTTGTAGTTATGGCAATTACCTTGTTCAGGGATCTGGAACAATCTAGGTGATGCAAAGTGTTCTTTTCCATAGGTAGCATTCCCTTCCATTCTATCTTATTTTGTAGCCCATGCTCTGAGTCTGGGGTGTGGGTTAGAAGGTAAAATACAGATTTCTCTCTGTTTTAATTCCAACACTTCCTGCCAGGAAGCCTTATTTCTTTGAGGTGCTGCAACGTTTCTGTTAGGCTGAGGTTTAAGTCCCGCACCTGAAGGCTGAGAAGAGAAGCGGTCAGAAAGTGAGCAGACATACCCCGAGTCCCTGCAGGGTAAGTAGACCTGTGTCTTCACCATGTGCCACAGGGCCCCTCTCACTTCCTTGTTCTGAAGGGTGTAGATGATGGGGTTGAGCATGGGTATGATGATTGTGTAGAAGAGGCTGAGGATGCCTGGGGATGGATGTAGGTGATGCTGGCTGTTCCAAAGAAGAGGAAGACCACAAACAGGTGGGAAGAGCAGGTAGAGAAGATCTTGAGGTGGCTCTGGGTGGAGACCATTGCCAAGGTGGCACCCAGGATGTGGATGTAGGAGGTGACAATCAGAAGGGAGGTGACAATCAGAAAGAAGGTGACTGTGATGAAGACCGCAATGGCTGTCATCACAGAGATCTCGCTCCTGTGCTGCCCAGCACTTGCCAACCTCAGGACTGGCAGGATGTCACAGAGGACATATGGGATGATTGGGTGGCTGGGGAGAGGCAGAGTGAAGATGAGGGAGGAATGGGTGGTGGATGTGATGATGCCCATGATCCAGGAGATGCTCACCATTGCCATGCTGACCCACCAGCTCATGAGGATGGAGTAGTGCAGGTGCTGGCAGATGGCGGCGTAGCGGTCATAGGCCATGGCTGTGAGCAGGCAGCACTCTGAGATGCCAAGGACCATGAAGACACACATCTGGGCTGCACAGCCTTGGAAGGAGATGGCCTGGGAGTGTGGGGAGGCCATTGTCCCAGGGCCCTTGGAACAATGTCAGTGGTATAGAGGAGCTCCATTACCGAGAGGTGGTGCAGAAAGAAGTACATGGGTGAGTGCCGGGCAGGGCTGACCTGTGTGAGGAAGATGATCATTGAGTTACCCAGCAGGGTGACCAGAAGCATCTCCCAGAACAGGGAACCCTGCAACGCCCTCAAGTCAGAGAATCCTAGAAGGAGGAATTCAGGCAGAGTCTGATTTTCCTTAGCCATCACTTCAGGCTAGACCCTGTGACACAGCCAAGAAAGAGATGTTTATATAGAATCAGCATTTCTGTAATTCAGTAAAATACTTTTTGTAAAATCCCTCTTGAATCAACTGAGACAGTTAGGGTCTCTACTTTATGGATAAGGCCATGGATTTCAGAGAGGCTAAATAATTTATCCAAGATAATACCAAGGGAGTGGTAGGCCTGAGACTTGAATTTAGGTTTCTTGACTCCAGATTCCATGGAGTCCCATGTTACTCTGGGAACCAGAGTCCTAAACTCTGGATCCTGTGTGCAGGGCCTTAGTCCCATGTGTAGAGACCCCAGCTGTGTCCTTTCAGTCTTTCTCCACAGTGGGGATGGAGCAGCTGCTTTGTCCCAGATCCCTTTGTATTCTCTGACCCCAAATCCCAGCCCAGAAAGAAACTAGGCAGCACCCCCACTGTGGATTTGGTCAGGGACTGTCCTGGGCTGATATTTAATGATCACCATGGTGGGTTGTGGACTTAGAATGTCATGCAATGATATAACTGTTGGTATTAATACTGCCCAATGTATCATGCTTTAGGATTCTATAGAACTTGTCAAAGATTATTAAGTTCTGGCCCTTTCCCTGTGACGAGAGTGGGACAGGGAATGGCCATATTGTACTTCACTCTCTTCTAATCTGGGTCTTGTAATCATCTACTCCAGCTGTTCTGTTTCAGTACTTCCTGTCCTCCCAGCTCCCATGCATTTCCAGAATGTGCCCCCTGCAGGAAATGTTTCTATGCATCCTATTATAATTCCACTCATCTTTTAAGCTCAGCTAAAATTCCATCTCCCCTATGGCTTCTTCTCCTTTCCTCATGGTCAGAAATAATTACCCATGCATGGCATTTCAGGATTAAAAGTCACCATAAGGGTCATATCTTTCAGTGCAACAATGCTCAGATCTCATCTACAACATCTCAGAAGTTGTGCAGTGTTTGTTTGATCATCTGCAGGAATGAGGAACTCACCATCTACTGAAGTAGCCCCATTTGTTTAGCTTTGGCCTCCTCTGCCTGTGGGAAGTCTTTACTCTATTGGTGTTGACTAAATTCTTAGTATTTTATAGAATGTTTAAGCCCCCTTTCACCAGGCAGGCCTTTAAGGATTTGAAGAAAGCACCTTCATTCAGGCTCACATGAGATAGTACTTGTGCCTCAGCCTTAGAATTTTTTAGAGAAAGGTCTCCAATGTAAGATCCTCTAGAATGAGCTGGGGAGGTGGTGGAGGGCATTTGTTTTAACAGCTGCCATTTCCAAAGTGCTTGGTCTCTCCACTCGTCCCTGGTCTTTGTTTTACAGATGAGCAAGTGTGCCGTGGCCCCTGTGGAGTGGATGTCCCTGAGGGGGAGCAATGGGAGACTGAGAAAAAGACAACATAAGCAGTTTAAAAAAAAGGGGGGGCCAGGTGGGGCATTGTCCTCAGATGGAGAGACAATGACCCTGAACATGGTCTCTGCATTTATGTTATACGGGTTGGTTAGATGAAGCTCAAGGACGTTTTGCAGCTGTGGGCAAAGATTGTTCGTTTCCCAGGCTACCTAAATGATAAAATACTTCTTCTGGAAAAGCTACAGTCACATTCAGTTGAAGCTTGCCATTAACTATTTCCTTCTCAACATCTCCCACGCCTGCCCTGTTCCCCTCCTCCCCCCTGCCCCCGTTTCTGGCTGCCGTCAGCTGCTGGCTTGCTCTGCTTTGCAGATGCAAGCGGTCAAGCGTGGCTTTGCCAAGTGTTTAACCTGAGCTTTTGATGGAAGCCTTCACCATCCTCCACACAAATGGAAATCCACAGTATTAGAAACTTTCTTAAAGTCACACACCTAGTAACAGAGTTTGAGCTCAAATCCAGGCCTGTCTAACTCCAGAGCCTGTGCTCTTAATCACTAAGTTATCAACTGTCTTAGAGGTTAATTTAATCACCAGAACAACTAGTTTCATACCTTGAGTATGTGAAGTGTTCATCTAAATATTTATGAGATGAATGAATGAATCCCACTTATAAAGATGGGAGCTGAAGAACAGAAAGATTAAATAATTTGCCTAAAATTAGGCAGCTAGTCCAAGAAAGACAGGACACGGGCCCAAGTCATTTAGAAGTCTTGGTTCTCAAGAGCTGAAGAGCTTTTATCATCTATATTCACCCCACATATGAGTTTAGCCCTGCCACCATCGTAAGGCAGGAGAGCCTCAAACTGCCTCCCCATTGCTTATAGTGCTAACCTTCCTCCCACACTTGTTTTGCCCTCTCACCATATTTTTTTGTCTTAAGTCTTTGACTCTATAGTTTACACTTAGAGATTGTGGTATGTTGGACATTGTGCAGTAGAATGCAATATCTCAACTGACTGTAAAACAATTTTAGGAAAAGTTGTTATTTGGTCATTGCAGGTGAGGAACCAGAGCTCTGAGAGCTTAAATTCCTTACCCAAGATCACACAGTTAGGGAGTGGCAGAACCAGAATTATATCTTGGAGCCTGAGATTTCAACCACCAAACCTACTGTATCTCCAGGGAGCCCAACAGCCTCGCCCTCACTCTGGGAGAAGAACTTTACCTAGTTAGTCTGGGCAGGAGTATCTGGGTCTGTTGGTCTTCTTCACTCCTGTCAATAACCTTCCAGATGCTCACACCACGTAGATAGCCTATGGGAGAAATATTGCTGTTTTCAAATTTAAAAAATGTTAGTTTTGCAATTAAAATTTTTAACAAATAATGAGAGAAAAGTCATTTATGATTTCACCACCTTAGTTCTTTTCTTTCTTGTATATTGTCCTCAAGTCTTTGTCCAATTGGAAACCCATTTTACCCTGAGGCCAGTCACCTTTTTGAAAGCCTCCCACAGAGAAACAGAGAAGAACAGAGTCCCTTCAGGTCATAGAGAGGGGCACAGGCTTTTTAAAATAAATTAAAAAAAAAACTGTGGGGAAAAAACATACTTTAAAATTTACCACTTTAATAATTTTTTCATGTACAATTCAGCAGCATTAAGTATATTTGCATTGTTGTGCAATAAATCCCCAGAACATTTTCATCTTGCAAAACTAAAACTCTGTAAGACAACTCCCCACTTACCATTCCCCATGGTACTTCCCCATGGAATCGATCTCCTCCTTCAATAAATTTTAGTGAGACAGGCAGATGGATAAATTGATCAGCTAATGGGCATGTGGATGGAACAACAGATAACCTGCGGATAACTCGCTTGTTGGCCGGAGGATGAACAAAGGTGTGGCTGGCTAGCTGCATGAGGTGGTCAGCCCAGAGGAAAGGACTGCATAGAAAGCAGTTCTTGAGGGGTAGGTTTGGCATCTTGGGCCAAGGGAGCTGGGATTTTGGAGCCTAGTGGGGGATGTGGGAAATGGGGGAGAAGACAGCTTTAATTGAATCACAGAGGTCTGGGGGAGCACAGCCAGACAATTCACCTTAGGTTTTTTCAGATATATTTTCCCCCCCAAAGTATTAATGGAAGCTGAGCAGGGGTGTGTGTCTGTGTGTGTGTGTGTGTGTGTGTGTGTGTGTTGGGGAGAGTATGAGGCAGCAAAGAAGGACGCAGGTTTGCTTTATCTGTAGGCTCTGAGTTGGAGACCATTAACAGGAACCTGAGAAAGAATGTCCTAAGTTTCTACCAGACATTAAGCGTAGACAGTACGGACACTATGAATGCCCACCTGACTTTCGTACCACTTGTAAATCCACAGATCTGCACACACTGCCTTATGACTAATTTACCACCCCTCCCACACCCTATTAGACATACTACAAACACGCATATCACAAGAATGCCAAACTTATTCCATGGCCCACCCCATAGCACACCTGCTCACATCACACATTCCAAGGTTTGCACAGTCTGATTACATACATATTTGCGTTGCTGTATTGTGAGCAATTTTATCTGGGAGCAATTGCTCAATGCTCCCTGTTTGCTTTTCATCCCTCTTCTTGTCCAGCCAGGCTGGTGGCATCTGCACTTCTGCAATCACACCTCTGCAATAGTAGAAATTGGGGAACCCTCACCTGGACTATTTTCTCGCATGACTAGGGACAAGTATTGGCTCCTAGCCTATAGAAAGAGGTTCTAAGCCTCTAGTTGGGGCCTGATATACCCTCTGTTCTTCTTCTCTTTCTATCCCTGGCCTTGTCAGGGAAAGGCCAAGGCTACCCAGCATTGTGTGGAGCACTTACCTGGGGGAGATGGAAATGGCTACCCAGCCGGGGCAAGGGCTGCTGGGTGCAGGCTTGGGCTCTGTTGTTCCCTCCTCCTCTCTGGGACTTTTGGCCTCTGAGGTGCCCGCAATTATTCTGCAGCTGCTGTTGTGCCTCCACTCCCTTGTGACCTGGGAGCCCTGACTTGTGGGGTTTCCCTGGGTAGTGCTGAGCTGAGGTAGTGTCATGGCACAGGCGACTCTGCCCGGGGCCCCAAGGCCTGCTGCCTCCCTTCTCCTCTCCTTAATCTCATTTCTCTTGACCAACCTGTGTCCTTCTCCCTTTCCTCACACCTTGATCCCCTCTCCTAGCTTTCACCTTCTCACTCATTGTGGGGTCTCCTTGGTTATAGATGGCATGAGAGTTGAGAGTCTCCCTCCCTTATGTCTAGAATCTCACCATGGATAACTCATTCCTCTATGTTAAATCTTGGCTCCCTCTTAAGTGTAGATGCTTCTGGAAACATCTGGAAGTATAATTCAGGCACATTGATGCCCATGCTTGGTTTGGCTTGTAGATGAAAAGTGTTCCAATGAAGACATTGCCTGTCTGGTTACCCAGAGGTGCATGGGAGGGAGGACAATATTCACCTCAGTCTTCAGCTTCAGGTTACTGCAAATGTGCTCAGTGGGGCCCTTACACAGAGAGTTAAGCCTTCCAAATGTTTTTAGTCTGGGAAGGGTGGTGAAGTTTCGGGGTAGAACAGAGGTGTTACTTGAAACAGCCTGGGCCTTTCCCTCTGTACCCGGTGCCCTTATGTTGATAT